ATTTTTTTCCCCTGATTTTTTGTACTCCCCATTTTCCCCCCAGATTTTTTGTACCCCCTAATTTTTTTTCCCCAGATTTTTTGTACACTGCCATTTTTTTCCCCCCATTTTTTGTACCCCTCCATTTTTTCCCCCGATTTTTTGTACGTACCCCTCCATTTTTTTCTTGGACAAGAAATTGAGCTCACTGTCGCTCACTCTTTTGCAGGCAGATCAACACCAAGGCAGGGCAGGTCCATCAGAGAAGAAACAAAATGTTGAAACGTTTGAGACAGGAAACATCAGCTAAAAGGCCCTGTGTCTTTCATCAGGTCAAACCACAAAGCTCTTCAAGTCAGACTATCATTATCAGATCAGGAGTCCTCTCTGAGGTTTGGTTTCATTTTTGTATTTAATCCAAGTGGCAACTGCTCTATCTGGGCAGGTATAAAACAATTCAATGTCTCAGATCCTGCAGAATCAGTTCAGGAAAACCTGAATGGACTTTAAGGAAATAAGACTTTATAATCCTTACTCCTGTTAAACAGAGTGGAAAACACAGCCACAGGGCTGGCTTCTGTCCCAGCAGATCGTGGGACTGTAAGTAGTGACTGTGAACAAGGGTACCTGTCTTTGGCTGCAGAAAGTTGAAAGGGGACAGTTTAATCATCCCAGCTGAGTTAGGAGCACATTCCAGCTCCCTGGTGCCAACTCCTGTGCCTGTCCTGGGCTTGCCCAACCCTGACTGGGTGCAGTGTTTAGGCAAGTGAGGAAAAGCAAACCCAAGCAGATCTTGTTTTACTGGAATTGCTTTCAGTGTTCATAAAACAGCTTGGGTTGGAAGGGACCTTAAAATCATTAGTTCAACACCCCCCCCCCCCCATGGGACATTGAATATTCCTTCTTTGTATAAAGAAACAAAATTTTGCAATGATAACACAGAGGGGACCTGAAATCCCACAGCGTCCCCCCTTCAAGGGGTGATACAACAGCACTTACACCCTCAAGGGACCGTTGACAGTGACGTGACATGACCCAAATTCCATCTGAAAAATAAATTTTATTATATATATACACAGGAGCTCACGCCCCAGGAAGCTACAGGCAAAGTGTTTGGTCACTGAATTTCATGTAGCTGGAGGAAATCCACACCCCTGATCACGGACAGTGCACAGCTGGGTACGTAGTGCCAGTGCCCTGGGCCTGCCAGAGATCCAGCTGCTTGAGCTGCTGATGAAATCACAATCCATCCTCACAAAGGGCTTTGTGCACTGGCCTGGTTTGCCAGCAATATCAAAAGAACTACCTCTTTCCCATGGGAAAAACGTGACTGTTTGGGTCAGTCTCATGACAAGGGGGCCAGTGGGTGAGAATGCAGGAGCGGGGCTGCTCTTGTTTGTGTTGGTAAGCCAGCACCTTCCACTGTCAGAGGTGGACAAATGCCACAAATAGCGAGGTTTTTAACTGAAGAGCTAAAAAGTTTCTTGCTCCCTGTTCCTTTTAAATAACTAAATTCCTGGTGCTGTTTTACAGGCTTGCCAGGGCAGACATGACTGCTTTTAAATGGAATGCTCTGCAGGGGCCAGACAGACAAATTTTGGCCTTTCTTCGACAGGAGATACAACCGAGCAGGAAACGCAATTTTAAGATTCACCTTCCTTAAAGTGCTCACAACTTCCTTAGGATGTGCCTTTCAGACAGCACTGAGGGGTGGAAGAAAGGGAAGACAACTCTTTGTCTTACATCCAGCTCCAGGCTTTCCCCAACTCCATTCACGGCCTCAGCCTAAGGGAGGGAAGATTCTGCAGCTCTAGGAAGTGCTGAAGCACTGCAGCAACTCGAGAATGTTTTTCTTACTCCTACCACAGCACAGCATGATCTAAAATGAGTGATTCTACTTCCAGGTACAGGAGCAGACGCTGCCCTCGATGTTTGCAGCAGGACCCTGGCTCA